CCCCCGCTGCCTGCCAGCACAGAATATTTGATCGTGTACAAAAGCACCAGCACCTTTGATAAGTGATGGATGGAAGGATGCACAATTACAATGAAACTCTTTCTCACAGCAGCGTATTGAATAAATAAAGGACAGTGGCCACTTTAGTAGCGCCTGCATTCTTTGAGTGTGATTATGACTAAATCGATAATAAATGACAGGCAGTCTTTAATTGTCCAATGAGTGTAAGGTGTGCCTGTGTCCTTGCCCTGCAGGGTTCTGTGGCGTACGTTCCCCAGCAGGCCTGGATCCAGAATTCCTCTTTAAAAGACAACATCATCTTTGGTCAAGAGAGGAGACAGTCCTGGTATCAGCATGTGGTGGAGGCATGTGCCCTTCAGCCTGACCTTGACATACTTCCTGCAGGAGATGACACTGAGATAGGAGAGAAGGTATGAGCCCATAGTACTCGTCTTTGTGTGTAAATCAATGTCGACACAAAACAAGTTGGCCTCGGAGAACGTAAAACAGTTTTCGCTCTGCAGTCCTATGAAAACATCGTTACTGCGTCTTACTTATTAAGAGGTGAGTAAAAGCCAAGTGTTGCTATTTAAATGCAGTTTTCTGCAGTTAACTGAGCATGTGTTGTGTCGGTTTGTAGTATTGTATTAAACCACACCTGAACACCCGAGGCCATCAGTCTTCCCAGGAGTGCACATCCCAGGAACTTGTTATCGTGGTCAGACGGTGCAATGGGAACAGGAAAGCCCAAGAGCTACATGTCAGACTGAGGGCCCCCCGCTGCCTGAGGGCGCCCGCTGCCCTGAGGGCCCCCCGCTGCCTCAGTGTGTTAAATGTTAGTGAGATCATGACCGTACGATTAGCAAAGACTCGACAGGTATTTGGAGGAGATGCCCGATAAAGCTTTGACGAGGATGTGACCCCCAGGAATTCACAAGGACCCGGTTTCTTGTTGAGGCGTCTGGTTACTGAGCGAGAGCGAGAGACTTGTTGGTGTGTCACTGAGTCTTTTGTTGCTGTTTGATGACACCGGCAGCATTTCTACAATGATGAGCTAGCCTGCTATACTGTCTGCCTCTGACCGTCTGTCTGTCTGCAGGGAGTGAACCTGTCAGGAGGGCAGAAGCAGCGGGTGAGCCTGGCCAGGGCCGTCTACTGCGATCGTGCCGTCTACCTGCTGGATGACCCACTGTCTGCTGTCGATGCTCACGTAGGGAAACACATCTTTGATCAAGTCATCGGCCCACAGGGACTGCTGAAGGACAAGGTGTGTGTGATGGAGTCATATACGTATACCCAGGATCATGACTGGGATCCTGTGTGTCCCTCACAGCATTGGTACTTTGCTCGTACGGGACTGTGCAAAATTCTTGAGCCACCCGTCTTTCCTTTATATTTTCTAGGAACTTGGAAATGTTTGCAGCACTTTATTGAAACTGAATGTGAAAGTGTGTAGGACAAGTCTTGTTCTTCTACACAGCATAAACTCTTTTAGTTCCCAGGACTAACTGTTGGCAGTCCAAAGCTCTTTGGATGTTGGCTTCAGTGAGCAGTAAATCAGCCTGTTCTCACATTTCTTATCCTTACTGTTCTTTTGCTGTGTCAGCCTTAATTCTTTGTTAGACACTGCACAGCATCCAGAGATAAGTTCTGGGCTGAAGTCAACCTTCTTGGTTCCAAACTGTTTTTCTGCCAGTCAAACTGGGACATCACGGTGTTTTTCTGCCAGTCAAACTGGGACATCAC